AAAAGAGTTAGTAAAGGACAAAGTTACCAACATTAAGGAAGAGGAACAAAAAAAATGGTGGATCAGTGACCTTCAAGGAAAGAGATGATTAGGAGCTGAGGGGGATCCACCGAGTGAATGGAGCAGAAGCCACTGCAGTTAGCTTTATCCTCAATGTTGCCATTGAAAGATTCTTTTACATCTTTTATATATTTTAGTGGAATATAGAATTGAAAACCAGATTGCAGTGGGTGGAAAGAGCAAATATGGTGTGAGGAACATAAGACAGGAAATATGCTCTCATGTTAAAAAAAAAATCACACACATACACCATAAAACTTGTTCTCAGGAAAGGAAAACTAGGGTGACATGGGTGGGGGGAACTGTTAGGTTGGAGAAAGAGTGTATCTTTTTATTGTTGTAGTACAGTAAAGGTTTGTTGTTTTATTCATAAATAAGGAATACCTAATATGTACTAGGTATCACATAAATTTGATATTATACTATACATGATATTGCTATGTGATGTTTTTCTCTTAAAATTCAGGGCTAGTATCCCATGTGATTTAATAAAATTTGGAGATATATAGACAGATATAGATAATAGATATGGATTTGTTATATACTAGTGCTTTATAATACAGTTATATAGATAGTTAATATACTTAAGATGTTTCATATGTGAAGTCAGTAATGAAATTTAATTCATATCTTTGCACATGCACTTGGGTAGACAACTAAAAACAGTCATTAAAAAGTGCATGGTTTTTTTTGTTTGTTTGTTTTGTTTTGTTTTCAAAAAATCATAGGGAGTCATTTTATATTGATTCATCCCTACAGCCTCTATAAGGCATACCAATCTGCTTTGGTTTTCTGGATCTTAATGTAAATTGTCAAGCAGAATTCCTTGCCTTGCATCCTAGGGAAGCCTTTATAACTTTAAATCCTTATCAGAACAGCAGCATATCAAGATGTCAACTGAACAGGTTCTAACAATTCACGTATAAAGCAAGATTAGGCAAACTATAGTATTTTTTCCCTTACATTTTTATAGGAGATATCTCAAGAAACCACTGGGTTAACAGAAATTTCATTGAGGAAATAAGCTTTTGCATTTTTGTGAGGTTTCTGTCCCACACTTTGGCACACATGTGTCTTACACATTTAGACTGCCTATTATCTCTTTGGGACTTTGGGACATGTCAATATATGGTCATCACTCCAAAAGGCCAGTGATGTGTATATTGCAGGGTCAGATGGAAGAATTCTGAGGCCTAAATCATAGCAGAGAGGGAGAGATGATATAAATAAACCTGAGATGAGAGCATCCATATCCCCAAGTATGTTGGGATCTGACTCTACAAATTTGGGAAAACAAGGTCAGTTATGAGTGAGGCCTGAGTTGAATTGGCTTCACCTCTCTGGGTAACATCCTCAGGTGAGATGCTCAGGAAAAGCATTAATGGATTCAATGTAAAAGTGGGGAGCAACAGGTCCCCCTATCAAGGAGACTCCATTTACCCAGGTCCCCCTTGTTCATCTCACATATTTCCATTTCATACATCATGGTGCTTGCTACTATCAGAAACCCAATGCTTTTTATTCAGTGCTCTCAGATTTTGCATAATTGTCCTGACAATGTTGTGAATTCTACTTATGCAATTCATTGTGAATAAACATTCATTTGATTCAGTTATCTTAGCTCTGCTGCTGCCCAGGGCTAAGGATGCTTTTGGCACTGAACTAGATAGTTCCTAAGTCTCCTTCTGTGTTTCCAACAGAGCTCAGGTAGGCAAACAAGTCATGCTCATTTGACTCTACCACACTCTGGAGAATGCACCTAAACTCAGTATTTGAAACCATTATGTCCTCACAGAGCATCCATCAACAAAAGCAGAGGTTTACCCAAACTACCTTGGCTTATTTCGATACAGCAATTTTTGATAATTATTCATCAAATTTTGTTTAAGTTGTGTAAATACTAAACCAGTAGAATTCCAGATAAATAGGGATGAAACAGGCTTTCCTCAGGCAAACTAGACATGCGAGTATACTATCAAGTTGATCCAGAAATGCTAATGCCTCCAAGCACCTGGGTAGGAGCAAATGAAAAGCAAATGGAATAAGATAAAATCCTCAGGTTCCATTTTTTTTTCTACATATAATTTTTCAAATACCTGAGGAGATAAGAAAAACTGAGGAGAAACTAGCAGAAACAAAAACCAACAGAAAAAGATCCATCCATGGAATTAGGAAACAAGGATTATAAAATAACTAAGCCAAGTCTGAAAATTTTTCTCAGGGAAATGAAAACTATAAAAAATTGACCTAGCTGACTAAAAAGCAAACACTTTTATAAACTTTAAAAAAATAGACAAAATTTAGAACAAAATGGATAAATTTAATATAATTAATTCTATTTTCTTTCAGCAATTAAAATATTCCACCATCTTTTGACATTCATAAAACCCGTGTAATCTCTAATTGTAATTTCCTTGTATTTAGTATCTCCATATCGTATAGCATCTCTTTTCAATTTATTTTTGATATTCTGCAGTAAGACAAAAAAATTGTCTAATTTAGTTCTTCTTCAACTTTAGGATTGTATCATCCATTCTAAAAAAATTATCAGTCATATAACTTCTAATATAATCTTGCCTTCATTATTTTCTATTGTGTCCTAACAGAACTCATGATAGATTGATGCAGCACCTTCTTCTATTCCCCCATCATCCTTTTACCTTTTGCAACAAATTTTGATAAGAACAATACAAAATAATAACAACAGCTATCATTATTGTAAATTAAAAGTGTGCCAAGAACTGTGTAAGCATTTTATATTTAACTCTTGAGAATCATATTGGAATCTAAAAAAAAAAAAAAAACAAAGAACAAGAGGATCCCTGGGTGGCTCGGTGGTTTAGCACCTGCCTTCAACCCAGGACGTGATCGTGGAGTCCCAGGGTTGAATCCCATGTCGGGCTACCTGCATGGAGCCTGCTTCTCCCTCTGCCTGTGTCTCTGCTTCTCTCTCTCTCTCAGTCTCTCTCTGCCTCTGTCTCTCTCTCTCTCCCTCTCTCTGTCTCTCATGAATAAATAAATAAAAATCAATCAATCAATAAATAAATAAATATAAAAAACAAAGAACAAGTAACTTTCTATTGGTCACCAGAAGATGAACCTCTTGAATGAGGTGCTAGAAAGACAGGTCAATATTGTGTCTTTTTGATCTATGGCTCAGGGAAATTTACCTGTATATGCAGACCTACACTATAGAATGCAATAGTACTCAGTGGCAAGAAAATTCTACAATTTCTCTCTTGACTTTTGTTCTACATTTTTGGCTTTGTACATTGGAAGAACATTTCAATCAACCAATTTGGGTATCCTTGGGGGTGGGCAATTAATGGAATGGATAGCTTCACTTCAAGAATGACCACCCCCATAAAGAGACTATTACCTTAACCACCATGTTCTTCCTTTGATTCTTTCTCTATACTGGGGGTGATCATGTTTAAATAAAATAAAATGAAATAAGATAAAATAATCGTGTTTTGTTTCAGACCTGTTTCAAATAGTTTACTATGAATATCTTAGATAATTCAAGGTGTTTACCTTAAGACAGGTTTGCCTATTACTCCAGGTATTATATTATTATTTATTATTATTAAAATAATTACACATCTCAGAATATTTCCCAATAGATTGTAACTTTTGAGAATACATTGGCTGGCACAGAGTAGTTCCATAACAAACAATATTTAGTAATTAAAATAATAACTCATGCAAAAATAGTAACTTTGTGCAGTAGATAATATTTAAGATCATAAATTAATCTTCAGAGATCCCTGGGTGGCGCAGCGGTTTGGCACCTGCCTTTTGGCCCAGGGCGCGATCCTGGAGACCCGGGATCGAATCCCATGTCGGGCTCCTGGTGCATGGAGCCTGCTTCTCCCTCTGCCTGTGTCTCTGCCTCTCTCTCTCTCTCTCTCTCTCTCTCTCTCTCTCTCTGACTATCATAAATAAATAAAAAATAATAAAAAAATAAATTAATCTTCAAAAACACCACTTGTAATTTAGAAATGACACATAAAGTCAGTATAACTTAAGGGTAATTAAAATCTTGGAATAATTCATTTGATTATGTTTTTGGGATTCAACATTTTGCTTCTAGAATTCCTCGGTGACTACTTTAGCTCTTTAGCTCATATTAGAAATTGACAGCTCATTAACAGCTCATTAGGAATGCTGTTAACTGTGCAAAAGGAAGATACTCTCCATAGTAAATTCTTACTTGTGAAATGTATTGAAGTTTAAGTCAGATTCAGCATCAGGGAGAATAAACATTTCTGCCTAGCAAAATGAAAAAATGCACACATGCAGGGTGAAATTAGGGGGAGGATGCCATAAGTTTCAATATATTTCACAAAATATTCCAGTGTGACATACTTTCTTTCTGCCACTTTTCCTTTGACTGTCAATTTATAGAAGCTGCCTGTCAATCTCCATTTCTCTTCCAAACACATGCAGTTATCATTCATTCCAATATTCTAAGATCATTTTATATAAACTTTAGAGATTTTGAATGATTTGTGAATGGACAAAGCCAAATCACATTTATGAATAAACACATGAAAAGAAGATTATTAAAATATTTTTAAAAGGAAAGAAAAATATGACCCCAATGTTTTTTTTGTATGTTTGTTTGTTTTTGAAAAACAAAAACTTAAGTATAAGAAAGTAAAAACTAGGAGAAGAAATCTAAAGACAGAAACAAAAGCAAAGATGGAAAAAAAGAGCAAAACCACTTCCACTGTTGACTTAGACTTGTATTCATGTTAGTAGTATGTAAGAAGGCCAGCCATAGTGTGTGTATAAATACACATTACACATATTCTTGACTGTCTTTTGTACCTGAATGGCAAAAGCACACAGCAGGTAGATAGTCTAAGGGCTGCCGAGTGGAGGCTCCGGGATCATCATATTTGGTTAACACAATGGCAGCTGTCTGGTATTCCCCAAGGGGGTGCAGTACTATATCAGATCACTGCATGGAGTGGATAGAGCAAGCTCCTATTCCAACTCCCTGATCAAAAAAAAAAAAAATTCATTTGATACACTGTCCTCAGGTAGAGGATATATCAGATATTAAACTGATAAAAACAGATAATACACTTGATATTAGCCAAAAGACTGAGAAGTAATGATCCCAAAGTTGTAAAAAATATCCACATCACTGTTTTGAGCCTGACTGGAGATAAAGAAATGATGGTTCATGAGCCAAATCTAGTCCATTACCTGTTTCTGTAAAGTTTTATTGAAACACAGCCACACTCATTCATTTTGGAATTATCTATGGTTGCTTTCATGCTATAAAAGTAGAATGGAGTAGTTGCAAAATATACCATATGGCCCATAAAGCCTAAAATATTTACTATTGGGTTTTACTATTTTGTTGATCCCTGATTAGACAGATAATTTTTAAATTTATGTTCAGATGTATGCTATTTGACTTATAAAATGGTATACAGATAGAAGGAATATTTCTTTGGCTGGAAAGCCCACAAAACTAGCATTTCTAACTTTGGCTTTGGAACACCTTTAAATCTTTATTTATGAGTAAATCACTGAGTGATTTATAATCTCTTTTCTAACTCTTGTTTTCACTTTCTTTTTGTTTTTTATTATATATATAATTTTTATTATATATAATATATTATATATAATTATATATTATATGTTTTCACTTTCTCTCTGTTTTTATTATATATAATTTTTATTATATATAGTGTATAATATATATACCAAATTATATATATTTATATATAAATATTAAAAATATATAATATATATCAAAATATTATATAATATATTATATTATATATATATATGTGTGTGTGTATATATATATATATATATATATAAAAGTCTTCCAGGGTACTAAAAATTTAAACTCAGTGTTTTCATTTGTAAATTTACCTTATTTCACAATTTCCATGTCTTCTTGAGCTACAGAAGTATTGGGAAGATTGGTTATGGACGCTGACTATTCTCTAATTTGATCATTGTTCTTACCTGATTTTAGTCATTAATACACATATGTGATTCCAGAGCTCTCCAATATCCTCTATGGCATTTGCTCATCGCAATCTAAACAATTCATCATGAGACATTATTCTACCCTCTGGGTCTTTTAATGTTTATTGGATCTACTTCTATTTCAAAGCCTTTTTCTGGGGACTTGTGACACATCTTGGTCTTCCTATAATCTTCTTTAGAGAGAAATGCCCATTAGCCCCATATGTCTATTCTTACTCTATATCTTTTTCATCCGGATTTTTGTGCAGCCTCCTATGGCTGTGACTGAGCATAAGGAGCAGCAGCCCTTTTCTAGAATATATCAATGCTTCATCATTCCCACTCTGTCTCCCACCATTCTGTGGAAGCCCTCCATTTCTCAAATCCCATTTTTCCAATACATTTATTTATGCCCAGTGGTCTTCTCCTGTGAGAGGAGGCTATGGTCTATAAAAAGAAACTTAAAAGATGAGCACGTATCAATATATCTTGCCACATCTCTCTGCAAAAGCAAGAAGCCCAAATATCATGTCAATTTTTTTTCATGTCAATTTAAATAAAGATGAAAGGAAAAGAAATAAAACTGGGAAAAAAAAAGTCTGTTAAGATTTCTAAAATAATATTTCACTACACCAATTGCTTGATATTGCCATCTCAAATCTTAATCAAATATTAATTTTCTACATCATATCTCTTAATGCAGATATATTATTGGTCCAGATAGGTTAGTTTAGGGTAAAGTAACAACCTCCAAAGTTTTATAATATAATGTGATAAATGTTGATATCGTTTCAACCATATATCCACTACAAGCTGGTGTAGGTATCTGTGCCATATAGCTCTCAGAGCTTCCTATAATGGGGGCTCTATCATTTTCGAGATCCGCCCTTTGAAACATGAGTCCCTTCTCTTCACTCAGAAGAGGTAAAAGGAGACTAGAAAACAATGCTGAAGACTTTTCTCTGTCTCATCCAACATGTAAAATATATCACTTTAGCTCACTTATTATTGAGTCGAGTTAGTACACATTTACATGAAACAATAAAAAGGCTGAAGGTGGGGATCCCTGGGTGGCGCAGCGGTTTGGCACCTGCCTTTGGCCCAGGGCGCAATCATGGAGACCCGGGATTGAATCCCACGTTGGGCTCCCGGTGCATGGAGCCTGCTTCTCCCTTTCCTCTCTCTCTCTCTCTCACTCTGTGACTATCATAAATAAAAAATAAATTAAAAAAAAAAAAAGGCTGAAGGTGACTGTTCTTTATGTCCATACAAGAGAAATTTGAAATGAGATACAGTAGTATTTCCAACATAGGCACTATTATGTGAAGATAAATTTCCAATCCTTGTAAACTTTTGTATAAGGGATTTCACAATCATATTTTCAAACCATCTAATAAAACATACCACAATGTAAGAGAACAATTCTATTTTGGGGAAAAAAAAGGAATAAACTAAGAAAAACAATTAGTCTACTCAGAAGCAAGTGAGGATAATTCCTCACTCTAAAGGAGACAATTACAGGATCATCCAGGATTTCTTCTCTGATACGTTCCACATAGCACAACCTCAAGAGGCATGTGAATTTAATTGTATTCCTTTACTTGTATAACCATAATGAAAATATGCGTGTTCATAGCAAAAACGAATGTTTTCAAGTTTTGCATATGCTATGTTAAATACATTATTTAAAGAAAAAAGTTATGGAAATGTATGAATATTTAACTAATAATATCTACACCATTGTTGCACTTTTTTCATGACATCTTTTATTTATTTTCATTAAATGGAAGTTCATGAAAAATGAAAAAGCCAATTCAAGAGTCATAGAACAGGGTTACCTGGGTAGCTCTGTTGGTTAAGTGTCTGCCTTTGGCTCAGGTCATGATCCTAGGGTTCTGGGATCAAGCCCTACATCAGGCTCCCTGCTCAATGGGAAGCCTGTTTCTCCCTTTCCCTCTACTGCTCCCCTAGTTTGTGCTCTTTTGCTCTTTCTGCCAAATAAATAGATAAAATCCTAAAACAAAAACAAACAAACAAAAGAGTCAAAGAACATAGGGCATGGTGTGCCCTCACAAAAAAATTTCTTAAATGAGCAGAAGGGAAATGTTGTTATAAGAGGAGAACATGAATTTTTCTTTGTTTCAGAAGTTTTAAAAATTATGATATGTATATAAAACATATAGATTGCATATATAATATATAAAATGCATGTGTATGCCAAATTTAATTTAAGACAGTGTGATTTGAAAAATAAGGCAAGGGGATCCCTGGGTGGCGCAGCGGTTTGGCGCCTGCCTTTGGCCCAGGGCGCGATCCTGGAGACCCGGGATCGAATCCCACATCGGGTTCCCGGTGCATGGAGCCTGCTTCTCCCTCTGCCTGTGTCTCTGCCTCTGTCTCTCTCTCTCTCTCTCTCTCTCTCTCTCTGTGTGTGTGACTATCATAAATATAAATAAATAAATAAATAAATAAAATCTTTAAAAAAAATGAAAAATAAGGCAAGCAAAATTAAAAGACTAAAGAAAAAAGAGTAAAATTAAATTTCATTTAAACACAATGTAATAGTTTTCTAATATGTGTTTTTAATAATCAGAAATGCACACTATTTTCTTATTAATTGATTTGAACCAAATGATATAATTATTTTTGCAGAACAATGTCTTTGAAAGTGCTAGAAAAGTAACAACAATTGTTATAAGTAGGAATGTATCTACAGTTATGTAATACAGCTCTTTTAATCACAAGTCAATCACACTGTGGAAAAAACCTCTATCTAGTTGGAAACAGCATGTAGAGCAAATGGACTTGAGTCAGCAAACAGGCCACATGGCTGTGTTGTCCTGATTCACTTCCTTTCATTAGTTCCCTCTATCAAATAAACTGAAGTTTAAATTACCATCTTCAAAGTTTAATTTATTTTCTTAGTCAAGCAGTTAACCATATTTATAGAGGCCTGACAATTCTAGGAAAGGAAAGTGCTGATAGTAGCACCAATATAAGGAGAGAGGGATTTAAAAAATGTAAATTTCCATTTAAAATGCTAATGAAATATTTTTCTAAAAATGCAAGTAATTATAATTTACCAAATTTTAATTTTGGGGGTGATGACATATCAATTTACTTTTAATCAGAATTTCTCCTTCCTTTAATTATATAGTCATTTATTTAATCCAGATTCACAGCTATATAATCCTACCTAAATTGATTTAAGCTTAATGTCGGAAAAAAAGGGAATATGCTCAGCCTGTAGGAATATGTCATTCTCAATTTAACACCCATAGGAATGTATTTAACACCCATAAGGATGCATTAATTGTATGTCATATATAATGCATATTTATAAATATGTACATATTTATAATATATATTTATTATGTATTGATATATAAATATTTGTTATATACATATATTAAAAATGCCTATGAATGTTAAAGTCAATAGAGGTGTATGTCATGATGTAGTGTATTTTCTTTTACTGGAAGCAAGTAAGCATAAACTTAGCTAACTCTAAGAAATGTATTATGGATGGGGATTCTTATAGTGGATGAGAGTTTGAATTACATATCATCTAAATAATTTTCAAATTATGAATTCATCTGTTAGAATCAATTTTCCATGTATAGTACATTTCTTGGAGTTAGCTGAGTTAGTCTTACTTGCTTCCAGTAAAAGAAAATTAACTATATAATGACATTCACCTCTAATGACTTTAACTTCATAGACATTTTTCTTAGATTGGGCTGCCTAGGAGCCCATGTAGGAGGTTTACTCAGTGTAGAATGGGAGTGTCTTTGAAATCAACATTTGTGAGGGAGTGAAGGAAGAAGGATTACAACACAGATGAAAGAATTAAACTGGAATGCAACTGCACAAAGGCCCAGCCAACATGATGGAGAGCTCTGGAACTAGGATGGCCTTTCAAAGCTATCCTGCCTTTAAACTGTAAGGCTCATTTTTTTTTATACCACTGTATAAACCAGTCATTGAATTTAGGGAGTCCTGGGGAAGGCCTATGACCTCAAACAGGTAGCATTTCTTACAAAACAGCTTGGCTGTGAGCTGTCCCTTTCAACACATTCAGCAGCCTGGGAGATGAATGCTTCAATCATAAAGAATGGATCTGTATG